CACATTTTTATGTATAGTTTACAAAGGTTTAATAAAGCACACTTAACTAACCTGACAGAGGATTATTATAAAAAAAAAAAAATTAAGGTTAGTTTTATATTAAGTAATAAACTTTTAAATATCAGTGAAATATAATATAAATAAATAAGATACTATATTAAAACTTTTTTAATAATAAACTAGAGTTCTATTGAAAATATTAAAGATAATCAAATTTTTATATAGATAATCTATAATATTAAATATTAAAAAAGTTATAAATAAATTAGAATAGCTCCAAATTTATATATTATATATAAAATATATATAGTAAATTATAAACTTATCTATCTAGATTATTATTTCAAAAAACTGGATCTCAATTAATATATCTTTAAATAAACAAATAAAATTATTATTTAAATAAAGTTAAAACTAGGTATGTTTTTTAAAGCAAATGCTTTTAATATATAATAAATTTCTTCAAATTTTATAAGAAAAAAAGTAAAATAAATTACTTAAACAATTAAAAGAAGAAAAAATATTTTAATAATGTATAAATTCATTAAAAAAATATTTAAAGAGTATCAAGTCTTTAAAAAAATGCTCGGATTTTTTTTACTTTTATTTTATTTTATTTTTTTGTAAATACATTTGCACAATTTTATATACTATTTTCTTTTTTTTTCCCTTCTCCTAATATAATTTCTCATTTTGTTTAGTGATATAAAGAATAATCAACCTTGACAATTGGCTAGCAATAAAATAAATATTAGAAGAGTTTTTATCCAAAGTGCTTATGAAGCATCATATTGTTTCAATGGTCAAACTTAGAGGCTTCAACTTAAGATGAGTTTTTGAAAGTTGTTATAGCTTAACCTAGATTCTAAATGCAATGCTGAGTATATTTTGTATTAATTAAAGTATTTTTTTTGACAAATATCACCAGAAGGTTTAATAGGTTATTGAAAAAAAAAATCTCTAGTTATAAAATTTTTTAATCAATTAATTGTATATTTAAGACTTGCGGATTTGAATTATTTGGTCTAGTGTATCTATTTGCCACTTTCAAATGCTAGAATTTAATATATCCAAAGTCAAATTATTGAGGTCACAAATTATCAGTATATTTTAGTCGCGTTTTTCATTTATCGAACTTAAATAAAAATAAAATAATATATTTAACCAATTTCGACCGATAATTATGTAAAGAAAGAAATAATATATATATTCTTATTCTTCATTCAACAGCACGCAAAATGTTGCAAGTAATTATTCGTACGTCTTTTTCAATTAAAAAAGTTGTGTTGACTTAACACTTTATGCAAGAAATCTTGAAATGAATCATTTCTTTGTTGTGATTTAATTTCATCTATGGCCACAATATATTCGTCTGTCTCTTTTCTTTTCTTATTTAACCAGTCTTTTCTTTCATTCTCGCTCAGCTCATTATATTCAGCTAGTTTAGTATCAACGTCATCCGTCCAATAATATGAATTCTCGTCCGAACTTCCAGATGAAGAAGGAAGGAACCAAAAGGGGACGATGAGCTCGTCTATTGAACATTCTTCGTTTTTAACACAAGGAAGGCATGAAAGTAATTCTATAGGAATTTTCCTCTTCAAAAGATCACTTCGACTGATTTTTTTTAAAAAAGAATATTTGTGATATATTTCATTTTGTATAATTTAAAGCAATAAACAATTTACAGTAAATTTAAAAGACGCATGCCTAGTAATTCTCGTTTTTAAACAATTTTTACAACATAGTCTCCTGAATTCCCATTTATTCTCCATACTACTCACGGTTCCACAGTATCGGCATGAGGCTCCCAGATGTTTCAACCATACATACTGTTGCTCGCTCATGTCTTTGGGTGGTAAGCTGTATTGTTGATCGAAGGATCTCAAGCGACTTTTCCTCCAAATTTGCTGTGTTATTATCGAATTCGACCAAAGAAAATTACGAAGCTGCTTACATACGGTAGAAAGACTATACAAATCTCCTGGCGGAACATATTCACATATCTCGGCCATTATCTCCGGAACAAGCAATATCTGAGAGAAAGTGGTTGTAGAGACAGAACTCGAAGCATTAGTACTAGTGCTAGTTATTTCTTTTGCCGAGGATGTTTGCTTTTCGTTATCTATAGGCAATTGTTCCTTGTCCTGCGACTTTGAGCTTGCCATAGTGGAAAAATGCTCTCGTCAACAAAAAGTCTGAGCATTTTAATATTCGAACAACGGAATTTTTATACACACTTCTCCGAAAATAATAGGACACATGATCATAATAGAAGGTTTCACAATTAATACAAGTATGGTCTAATAAGCTAAAGTTTCTAGATTTGACTATAGAAACAATATAATGTTCGAGACTTTGGATAAATACTTTCCTAGTAACTTATATCATTAAATAAAAAGGAAAGAAGTGAAAATATAGAGTTATACAAATATATATATATATATATATTTTTAATTAGTCCAACTAGCAGAACGAATTTTTATTGAGCATTCAATAGTGTTAAATTACATGAATGATTCATATAACCTTATTGATTGCACTACCTATCCTAGCTAAATCCACCAATTTTACCATATAGTGATACCATTTTCATCAGTTTTCCTGTTCTGCCTGGGACTATAGCATTCTGAAGATCTGCTATGGACTTCTTATTGTTAATCTTTAGGAAACTTGTGTTCTGTATTCCTTAGTAAGGTTTTTGATTCCTACCATGTTTGGGTTATCCATAGGCTTAGTTGAAACTTAGATGGCACAGTCCTCTAATCATGTTCTTGATATCCAGGTGATTCAATGATGTTACGTAATTGATTGACATATAGTCTTTTATTGTCTTATTTTTAATCACTCTTGCAAGCTGGCCTTACAAGAGTTTTCCTTGATTACTTCATAGTGGATTGTTCCTCCCATTGAATTGGTTATCTTGGTGATTGTTTCCGAATTTCTTCTTCCAGGGTCTGCCCCTACAGGTTTCGAAATGTGGCACTAATGCTAACCACCAGCCTTCACAATAGCCGTTCTTTTTGGTAACCATTAGTTTCGTAACTATAGAGATCTTTCATTAATTGTTGTTACAATCCATTGTATTTTTATAGGTACAAACAACTGAAGTTTTTTTTGTCTTCCATAGGATGTAGTTTTGACAAGAGGTGAATATCCTTTTCATATCCATTAAGAGACTTGAGTTGATTGTCATTCTTTCTTGACTTGTCTTTGGATTCTACATATTCGAGGTAGCAAATTCATTGAAAGTTTTCTTAACACTAAAACTGGTCAAGGCTTGAGTGACCTGTTATGCTATAGTTGGATGGTGTAAATCTATAGATTCTTATAAATACAAAGGTACATGTGGTGATGAGTATATATCTTATATAATATAATCTATATTATAAGAACCTATTCTTAAGTAAGATTGAACTAGTAATTTGTGGATAGTGACCTGGAAGTGCATTCACTGCACTATTGATCTACAGATCTTATATACTGTAAATATATATATACAAAAAATACTTTATTTTTTATTTTTTTATTAAGTTGGCTCAACCTTGTTTATTAGCTTGATACAGTAATATATATTTATATATTATAGGAATTACAAAGAATATCATATATGCTATTAAATTTCTTAGAACTAATTAGTTGATCTAAAGAATTCACCAGATGGCTTATTGCCATTCTAAACTTAGGAAGGACTAACTTGTCAAAACAAAACTAGTGCTGGGTTCAAAGAAAAAAATAGATATTATATTAATATTTCTATAATAAATTATTTTATATGTTTATTTACTAGATCTATATAGCTATCCTTAATGTTTGTTCATTTATTCATCTAACAAGACTTGAAAGTATTTTTTCATATTTACGATTTTTTTTTTTTTCTAGAAATGTTATATTTTTCTTTTCACTTTTGAAATACTTTATTTCTGATCTTTTAAATTAAATAATAAAGTTTTTTTCATTCTTTTAATATTTTAGTTATACAGTCTTTTGCCTTAATGATATTTTGAATTATATAGTAAATAATTTTGATAATAGATTTGAAGAAAACATCTTTGATAAACAATTTGAATTTTTGTATACTATCCAGAGTTATATTGTTACTTATTTTTTTTTGCACTTTAATTTTCTTTTCTTTGAATATGTGCTTGACTATCATTTCTTGAATGATTGTTACAACTTGATATTTGATATCTATTTTGTTGTTCTTATATAAGAAAGGGTGATATTTATCTTTTACTTGATTGCATTTATAACATTTGTTATCTTTGTATAATAAGGATTTCCTACTATATAGTTTAGATTTAATGAGGAGTTTATTGTTTCAAAGATTTGATGAAAACTTTTGAATTTGTTAGTCTTCAATTAAGATATTTGAGTTGCTAATTTTAGATAAATATATGTGATTGTATATTTCTTGTCAATAGATATATTTGTATTATTCAGTAAAATCTGTGAGTGTTCTGTTGAATAAATAACATTGAATAATATATTTAGTTTAAGTAATCTTTTACAAATATTTTTGACTAATATATCTATATAATAGCTATTCCATTGTATTATTATAGATATTTGTGATCTTTGAGTATATTATATATTAAGAATGTTAGTACCTGATCATATCTTTTGTGGGTCTGGTTCTATTGAGACTAGCTAGTCTACCTGTTTATTGTATTTAATATTTGAATATGCTTGAACTTTATACAATTGTAAATTGAGATATCTAAAATTATAGATATTCTTAAGGATCTGAAGCATGAAGAATTTTTTTTATTTTTTGATGTATCATGATGCTGGGATTTTTAGAGTCTATTAGATACAGTTAATTGTTATTTAGTTATCTATATAGATATTAACTATTGAATTTTTTGATATTATTAATATTGCTGTTATTATAGTTATGATTTTGATTCTTGAGGAGAAAGGGTATATAAGAGTTTAAGCTTTAAATATATATTCTACTTTGTTTGAGATAATAATAATATAACCTAGTTCTATAAATGATTTGTTGTTCTATTTGCTTAAAAAACTATCAATATAAATCTTGAATCTTGTATATGTAACTACTTCTTTAGATATGTGTATGAGTTTAATAATTTTGTTTTAATTGCCAATAAGATGTATCATAATTTGTGAGGATAGTGTATTATGGAAAATATTTACTGTTAAAAGTTGTTGGTGGGCCTGCTAAAATGTATTTATTTAATTTAATATAATGTAAATTGATTCTAGTGATACTCTAGATCTATATTGTAGGTTTCTATTTGAAGTAGTATATTGAAATATAAATATGCAACTTGTTATAACTAGAATTTCAACTACTTTCTATGCAACTGTATTAAAAAAACAATTCTGATCTTTATTTTTATTATTTATTAAGCATCTATTACATTTGATAAATGGAGGTTCATTATTTGTTATATAGTAATATATATAGGTAATACTACTATCTGAATTATATTCTTTTTTTATTAATAACTAATGTATTATAAGTGTATGTTGCTACTCAATGTAATTGATGAATACAGTACATTATTAATCCAATACTTTGAATGAAGAGATTTATACTAATGATTTGTAAATACAATACTTTAATTATAGAATCATTTATTCTTTACTAGATATTTGTGAACTATTCTAAGATATGTCTTAGAGGTTGTTTATCTTTATATCTGATGACTTGTAACCAGTTAAGAGTATGAATTATACTAGCATTTAATATTTGATTGATAAATAAAAGGTTGTGTTTGATAAATTGTTTTCTGTGTTTGTGATAGAATTATGATATTATGTTATTTTCTATTATTATATTTGTTTTATATATTATAGTGATGATAGGTTTGCACTTATTCAGCAAGAAATTGAATCCATTTATTTTGAGTAATAAGATAATACCATATATAAAAATTTTTCTTACTAGTATAATAAGAATGATGTATAAGCAAGAATACTATTTATTGATTAAAAGTGATTCTATACCTACTATAAATAATATCTAATTAAATCTTCTATAATACTTTATTAATTTATTTTTTGTATTCAATTGGATATATAAACTGTAGCTGTTTATCTATAAATAGAAAATATTATATTCTTGTAGATTATATATAACATTATTGGATATTGTATTTGTTAATTCAAGCTTATACTTGAATATGCTTGCCAATTTGCTAAACAATCTATTACAAGTACTTTCAGGAAGGAATAAGTTATTTAACAAGTATTCAATATTTAGGTATATCATATAATTGGGCAATATATCTTATTTGTTTATTAATGATAATTTTGCTTTCTATAATGGAATATGTTTGTAAAATTTTTTGTTTAATTAGTTGTTTTTGATACTTTTTGAAAACTATTATATAATGTCAGACCCCTAATATTCTAACTGGAGTTTTATTATCACAATCTGTAATATTTTAAATTAGCTAGTCCTATTTCTTCTTAATTTTATCTTGAGTTATCTATTAATAGGCCATTACTTTGTAATTTATTTTTTTAATAACTTGTTTTATAGGGATATCTAATACTATGTCTTTTTATTTGATTTCTGTAATGATCTTGGATAAGACAAGATTTTTTTATTTTATTACTAGGAACTTTAGTACTTCTTTGACAAAGGCTTTTGCTTCTTTATTATATTAAATATTGGAATATGTCTTAACCTTGATAAGCTTAAGATCTAGCTTTTTTTTTTTTACAATATCCAACATTCATACTTACAGAAATCAGTTTTATTCTTTTAATCATCTTTTATAAGTCATTTTGGGATTCTCCTTTTCTATAGTTTTTTATTTTGAGATATAGACTTGACTATTTATATGAATATTGACCTTGCTATTTACTAGAGCTACTAGTATAGTTACTATTGCTACTAATTTTATTCTAGTAAATAAGGACTAATCAGTTATTTTAGTTTGAAACTTGCTTTCTTTTTCTATTTCTTTTATCTGTATTTATATTATTTCTATTTTTATAACTATACTTCTGTAATTTATAAGAGATTTATTGAGATAAAAGGTTATTGTTTTTTTTTTTTATTGTAATTAAATATCTTAATTAGATAGATTTAATAAGTATTTTCTTTTATATGATCTTTAATAAAGTTTTTTTCTCAATTCTCTACTTCAACCTGTAGTATTCTTTTATTTAAAAGAATATTTAATTACTA